TGTCACATGTTAGAGGAGCATGTTAGCTTTGGCTCTGAAGTGTGTATCCATTAGTTTTGTGTAGCACAGTGGTCACCAACCTGTAGATTGGGATCTACCTGTAGATTTTGGAGCTTCTGACGGGGGATCCTGACTGGTTTGGATGAGAAGCTATCAAGTGCTGGCACTTCAGTTGCCCATCCACCCACTGTCATGCTGCTCTTGTCTTCTGCCTTGGAGCACCCCCTTGAGAGCCTCCTGCTTGCTGTGCAGGATGTGGGAGGGAGAAGAGGGTTGCTGATGTCAGGGTGTCCCTCCTTCCCCCCCCCCCATTTCTGTACCCAATCTCCACACAGAGAAAAGGAGATAGAGAGAAACACAAGCCCGCGCTCCCTCCCTCTCCTTCACTCATCTCTTGACCCAACACACACATGGGGGATTGTTACTTCTGGTACTGCTTGCAAAGGGGGTTATTTTTGTTTTTTGACTGGTCTGTGCATTTCATAATTTTCATTTCACTCTTGTGCTTAAATTTAATTATGAGTAGTGAGTTCTAAAATGCCTAACCTGTTGTGGCTGGAGTCATTATCCCTGTAGTAATTGCTGCTCCTAGACATGGCAGCACCTGAGAGAGGTAGAGCATGGGGTCTCCACATGCTGTCCTTGCCTGCAGACACCACTCCTGCAGCTCCCATTGATCAGTAACAGGGAAGTGTAGCCAGTAGAAGCTGTGGGCTCAGTGCCTGTAGATGAGGGGCAGCATAGGGTGCCAGGGAGCCATTGCTGTATGTGCCAGCTGCTTTCAGGAGTAGTGCAGGGCCAGGGCAGGAGTAAGCCTGCCTTAACCCCACTGCTCCACCACCCGGACCCACCTCAGTTAAATGGTTCCCAGCCAGAGCCTGCTTCCTGAACCTCCGTCCCAGCCCTGAGCCACCTCTTGCACCCAGACTCCTGCCCCAGATGAGTCCCCTTGCACCCAAACTCCTTCCCAGAGCTTGCACCCTGAAACCCAACCTTGATCCCAATTCCCCACCCTGGGCTAAGGCCAGAGCCTCTCGCACACTCTGAACTCTTAGACCCAGGACCAGAGCCTGCACTCCAACCTCTACCACAGCCTGGTGCAAGTGAGTGAGGATGGAAGAGGATGGAGTGAGCAGGGTGAGGCCTTGGAGAAGGAGTGGAGCAGGGGCAGTGCCTTGAAGGGGCAGGGAAGGAAGTGGAGGCAAGGGTATTTAGGTTTGAGGTAGCTCTTACATTGCACTTAAATTGAAAAAGTGATCTTGTGCTTAAAAAGGTTGGAGACCACTGGTGTAGAGGAGTTTATATTATTATGACAAAATGGAGCACGGATGTACCCCTGACATAAGGCAACTCATCCCTCTGCCTCTAGTAGGGATGCTAAATATCCAGTAATTGACTAGTGGGAGAAAACATTGTGTGTCCTAACCCAATGACACTGTCATCTAGCTGGGCTTCTATCTTACTGGGAAGACTAATTCTAGGTTTCTCTCAGTGTCTCTGGGGCACTGGCCCCCTCACAATACTGGAATGCATCTGTCAAGATTTCTGCCAGAAGTCACCATATCTGAGATGAAATGTGGACTCCACCTTTTTACAAACAAAACTTCCAACCCGCAGGGGCAGATTACCTAGATCTCCTTGGTTCTGCTGCATAAAGCTTGTCAAAAGCTGTCCAGTTCAGGGGTGGGCAAATGTTTTGGCCTGAGGGCCACTTCTTGGTGTGGAACTTGTGTGGAAGGCTGGCTGGGATTGGGGTGGAGAGGAGGAGGAGGAGGGATGAAGGGCTGTGGCTGGGGTGCAGGCTCGGGGATGGAGCTGAGAGGTTTGGGGTGCAAAGGGTGCTCCAGGCTGGCATCAACTCCCAGGCAATGGATGTTGCAGAACCAGCACTGAGGGAGATGAGGGGGACAGTACGTGGAGTACCCTGGCTGATTTTCTCAGATTTTTTTTACCTGTTAAAAATACTAAATTTCTCATTTAAAATAAATTACAATTAAATCTCATCACAAAAATGCTACATCTACACTTAGTCTTAAATAAATTAATGGCTCTAATGTGTCCAGCTTAACTACTAGCTCCTGCTTCTTTTTGAAAGTTCTAGGCTTTCAGTTACTTTTTAGTGTGCTGAAAAAAACCCACATGCAAAGAAAGACACAAGATGGATAGGAATGTATTTGTGCTGTGGTGGAGGACCTGGGCCAAGCATGGCACAAGAGTTAAGACATTGTTTTAAAGACAGAGGGACAAGAAAGGAACAGGGGAGTGGATTGGCAAGAATAAGGGAAGATGTTGTTCAGCACACATGTGGCTTCCTATATTCCTCCACGCTTTTGCTACAGAAAAAGCTGGGCATAAGAGAATCCCTGTCTGGAAATATTTTGAAGTAAATAATTTCCTGGATAAAAAAGAAAAATGTATCCAGTGTAAGCAGAGCGCGAAGATGAGACAAGGCCTAATTGCAAGAATGAAACATCATAAGGAAACTGTATATTGGGAGAAAAAAGTAGATGAAGATGTGAATATGGCTGAGTTGATCAAACTGGTTAGAAACTTAAATAATTCACTGAGCAATGCATCATTCTTCAAGACTCTCTCTATGCCTTTTAGTATAAGTGTGATTTGACAAGTACATTCCCAAGCTGTTTGCTGTGTTGGATGTTACTAGATACAAAAGTTTCTTAGCTTAACAATGTCAAGCATTGGTTAATTTGCGAGGCGTACCAGCTTTGAAATGCACAAGAGTCCCCAGAGAGGACTCTTGTGCATTTCAAAGTGGCAGCTGTGACTCCCCAGCTGATACTGGGCTTGGTGCAGCATTTCAGCAGAATCCAGGATCAGCTGGGGATTTCTCAGATAATCCTGGGCTCTGGGCAGCATTTCCACAGAATCTGGGGTCAGCTGGGGACTCCCCAGCTGATCCTGGGTTCTGTGGAAATGCTGCACTGGAGCCTGGGATCAGCTGGCAAGTCCACAGCTGATCCCTGGACTCCATGCACAGCAGTGCCACAGAGCTGATCCTAGGCTTTGAAGTACCCTGTTCTCTCTTCTTCTCCCCCCCCCCCCCCTGCTGCCTCTATCTGATAGAGGTAGCAAGGGCGGGGGAAGCGGAGGCGGGCAAAAGAAATTGACTACTCAACTGACTAGTGGCTAAGCATTTGCTCATCAGATATGGGATGTTAAGGACTAATCCACTGTCTTAGCTAGTTCTTATGTCTTGTTTTAGTTAACTAGGTTTAGAATTGATCACTCAAGTATACAATAGAGAACTTTGCAGTAAGAGAAGTCTAGAGTTGCCAGTTACCACTGAGTGTCATTTTCTTTTATTGAATAATACATGCCCTTATTTTGAAATATGGCCACAGATCATAATGGTGATGCCATAAGTGTTGGTCCTTATTTTACTTCAGCATAACTCAGTTTTTCCAAGGGAACCCCATTCTGTACTTAAACAGAACTGCCAGTGAGTTCAATGGGGCTTATTCCAAAATGAAGTGCACTGTGTCTGGGCTTTTTTGTAACTTGATTTAAACCATTTTTTTTGGTGATTTTTAAATCACCTTGATTTAAACCAATCCACCATGCCCTGGCTTCCCCTGCTCCTGGGAGCTATGCAGAGCCATTGCATGAATGAAGCCATAGTTTGCCTACCCTGGTCCAGCTGTTCCACATGTGCAAATGAGGAAAGAAGCATGTAAGGAGTCTAAAGGGACCATATTCACTTTTTTAACACTAGGACTGCTTGGTGTCATGGTAACTGCCATGTTACTACTTAGCTGTGCAAAGGTGTATGCTGAAGGTTTAGCCTGGGGAAGACAGACTGTGGCTCCAGGCCCCTGAAATGCAACAAATCAGTTTGAAGGAAGGACACTCCAGTGAGATGCATGCTCTTCTGTGTATTTCCTTTGAAATGTTCTGCTTTTCTAGAGGCACCCAAGCTCTGCGCTAGTAACATGCCAAAAGCCCATGCACAGCACCTGATTTCCATAGATGGAACAGGTAGCCAGCTAACCTCCCAAATTGCGTATACTTGAGTAGAAAAGGGGCCCCTAAGAAAATCTGTCCATCTTCAGCTGAGACTTTGTGTGTATGACCCATGATTCCTGAGAACAGTTGTGTGTGTTATGGGTATGTTCCGAGACATCCCTGTGGCATAGTGCTAGAAAGCAAAAGTGCAAACACACTGGTATGCTTCTCTCCTAAAAGCCGCATTGCTGGTCATGGAAATAAAGTACTAGGAGCTACTCTGAAAGCCAGTTTCTCAGAGAACCTGGCTCCAAGTTAGACTATACTTCAGAGCTAACTGTGGCCTACTCTGCTAAAGCGCGTGGGGGGCGGGGGGCGGGGAGAACTGTGATTGTTGAGGAACAGCTGCCCAGGAGCCAAACAGGAAGTTGTTCCCTTCTAAAATGGGGGTCATAGTATGTTACAATTCTCTGTATCCTAAGCAGCGTAAGAACTTGGGCCCAGATCCTCCAAAGTAGTGGGAAGTAGGCATTTAAATCCCTCGGACAATCTGTGCCTTGTCCCTGAGCGGAGAAAAGCTTCTCACTGTGCACAGCACCTTGCAAGCTCTGAATCACTAGTGCTGGTGTTGAGGAAGTGGGATACTTGAGCACAGCTGTACCCAGTTTAGCTTTCCTGTGCTTGAAAGATCGGGTATGCTAAGTGCCCTTTTTATGGGTTTTGTTCCTCAGCAGTTGGGAGGGAGTGTTAATTAAATGGTTGCATGGGTTTAGTCCTCATGCTGGCTTGCCAACTCTCTCTTCTGAAATAGTAGAGCAATATGTACATTTGGGCTTCTCCACCATGCTGTCTCTT